TCCTTCCTTCCTTCCTTCCTTCCTTCCTTCCTTCCTTCCTTCCTTCCCTTCCCTTCCCTTCCCTTCTCTTCCCTTGCTTCCTTCCCTCCCTCTCTCTTCCTCCATCCTTCCTTCCTTCCTTCCTTCCTTCCTTCCTTCCTTCCTTCTTCCCTTCCTTCCTTCCTTCCCTTCCCTTCTCTTCCCTTCCCTTGCTTCCTTCCCTCCCTCTCTCTTCCTCCATCCTTCCTATTTCTCCTTCCTTCCTTCCTTCCTTCCTTCCTTCCTTCCTTCCTTCCTTCCTTCCTCACTCCCTCTTTTCCTCCCTCCCTTCCTTCTTTCCTTCCTTTCTTCCTCCTTCCTTTCTCCTTCCTTCCTTCCCTCCCTCCCTCCTTCCTTACTCACTCTTTTCCTTCCTTCTTCACACCCTCCCTCTTTTCCTCCCTTCCAACCTTCCCTCCCTCCCTCCTTCCTTACTCACTTACTCTTTTCCTTCCTTCCTCCCGCCCTTCCTGTTTTCCTCCCTCCCTCCCTTCTCTCCCTCTTCCTTCCTTCCCTCCCTCCTTCCTTCCTCACTCACTCACTCTTTTCCTTCCTTCCTCCCACCCTCCCTCTTTTCATCCCTCCGTCCCTTCCCTCCTTCTTCCTCCTTCCCTCTCTCTCTCAATCTCATCTCCCTCCCTCCCTCCCTCTTTAAGGACAGAATGTGAAACTTAGTGCATGTGCCAGTCTGCCAAGTACAGCTTTGCCCCCTCACCCCCCACCCCCTGCCAGTTTCCATTTAGGCTTTGCTTTCTGCCGTGACTGAGCTCTTTGGCACACAAAGTGCCCCCTTCCTGGGAGATCTTGAGCCTCCTGGGCCCAGAGCCCTCCCCTCTGGGCGTTTGGCAGTCAGTCCAAATCCCAATCCCAGCAGGAGAGCCGAGGAGGCCTAGAACAAGACTGTCAGGAGAAAAAGTGGGTAGAAATGGTGCAGATCGCAAAGGAGGAGCGAGGCCATCAAAAATATGCCAACAAGCCCTTGCAGAAGCAGAAGAACAGAGTTGGAAGGGACCTTGAAGGTCTTCTAGTCCAACCCCCTGCTCAGGCAGGAGGCTTTGCAGGCCACAGGCTGCCTGGTGTCCCCAAGAGTGCAGGAGCTGTGACTGAGAAGCCAGGGATGCAGTGAGTTGTGCCCCAAATTCGGCATCTGCTCAACCCAGGAGGACCACACAATTCAGCTCCCCGGCTGACAAAGTGCTAGCTTCCGCACCCCACTCCTCACTCTACCCCTCCCTTTCCATCCCTCCCTTTCCCTCCCTCCCTCTCTCTCTCTTGGAGGCTATCCAAGCAAATGATGGAGGGAGTTGCAGGGAGAATAAAGTAGCCAGCAAGGAAGTCAGGGTTGCCAGCGTCACAGAGGAGTTTGGGGTTCCTTCGTAGCACGGCAGAGATCCTCAACAGGTGCAGAGGGTGTGATCTGGTTGGGTAATGAAACCTCTGCAAGAAAGCCAGCGGGCTCAGGGAGCACCAAGGACCTCACGGTTGTCCTCCTCCTCCTCCTCCTCTTCCTCCTCCTCTTCCTCCTCCTCCTCCTCCTCCTCCTCCCTGGCTAGAAAACCCCCAAGCGCAGGGAGCACCCAGGGCCCCTCACAGGTGGCCTTTCCTAGGTTTAGCCTGAGCTCAGCTTGGTCATGTTGCCAGTTTCTCCCCAGGGACGTCCATCTCCTTTCAGAAGGGCCCTGCCAAATGGAGAGGGCTGCTTTCATGAGCCAGTTGGCTCCAGCTCCTTTTGGCGATGCCTCACAGGTGGCCAGCGAGACCGGTGGATGGCCGTTGCAAGTCTCTCTCTCTCTCTCTCTCTCTCTCTCTCTCAAAACATAAAGGAAGGAAAATACGAATAAACGCCCCTCCTGCTGCCACGAGGCTCTGGCTGATGGGCCTTTTGAGGGAATTCCTGGTCGCGGGAGAAGCTTCTTCAGGTTTTCAGGAAGGGATGAAACTGTTGTGCAGAGAATTCAGCTTCTAAGGGACTAAAATGGGCTTTGGACATCTCAGCATACACACAAACGAGCCATTCGCTTTTAAAATTGAAAGGCAAATGGGAATTAAACCTAGTTTAACTCTCCTAGTTTCGTGATGAACATTGCAGGTAGTCCTTGAGTTACAACCGCTTGTGACCGTTCGAAGAGATGACAAGGCTGGGAAAAGTGACTTCCCATCGTAAGCTCTCCAGGATCACTTGATCAAAATTTGCAAACTGTTTCCCATCTTAAGTGGCTTAACGTAGAATTCGCGTCTTTGCCCACAATCTCAGAATTTAAATCGGCGTTTCACAACCAGTTTAAAATAAGTAGACTTCAATTCCCAGGGAGCTCATGTCCACCTCTCTTAAAGTGGCCAAAGTTGAGGAAATATTGAAGTTGGAATTGATTGTAACTCCTCCAAAAAGAGGTTTGAAAATCTAACAGAGAGAAAGCCTTTTTGATTTCAGAGAACCAACAAATGCTCTTCTCTTAGCTTCCAGTGACCTGCATATTTATAGTGCAAAATGTTCTCAGAGATTTAAAAAATATTCTTTAAAAACACTCCAAAGGGCTAGGAAAACGATCTAGAATGTGGACAAGGTACTTTAAATTTACGTTGGAAATGTGGAGAGTTAAAAGTTTTAGCGTGCCTGGCAGATTTGCAAAAAAGCCAGAAAATTGTGGTTTTCAATACAGGCCCGTGACCCAAAGTATTTTAAAAACGGATATTCAATTAAAACCAGCACTTGCCCTGCGGGACAATTAGAAAAGAGTTGTGGAAAATGGCTTTTCTATATGATAACTGCTGTGAGATTTTTATTATGTGCAAAAATGGAAAGACTCTGAAATACCCACAACGGAGGAATGGTTGTTGAAGTTGCAGGATTAGCAGAGATAACACAATTACCCTCTCTGTTCAACGAAAGGACAATAACTTCATGTATTGTGGACTTTTTGCTGAAAAAAGAAAAACCCGAACTTGTGATTTTATGGGTTTGATGATTAGAAAGGGTAGACTGTGGAAATAATGAAATTATGTTGTAACCTTAGAGACGGCAAAAATATAAACATAACTGCGGTTAAGAAGATTGAAAGTTGATTCTTTACAGTATCGCTTCTTTCTAATTGGTTTTTTTTTTTTTTGGTACTTTTTCCACATTTATTTTACTTTTTTCAAAATTTGCAATCTTTTTATTCTTTTTAAAGAATTTCTCTCCTAAGAGTCCCTTTAAGGAAAGGGGAAAAAAAAAATATACCTCCTAAGGGCTGCAAAATGAGTCTTAGAGACCGTTATCCGTAGCAGCGTGGTTACGGCTGTCCTTTGTTTGAAGCCTGCTCTTTTCATGGTCTCCCTGTTGGCTCCGTCCCATCCTCTGCCCACCAACAGCAGGAGGGCAGTTTGGATGGCACTGGAAGGACGGCTGGCCATCCCTTGATTGCTCCTGCAGGCCTCTCGCTCATCCTCTTCCTCCTCCTCCTCCTTTCTCTCCTTAGATGCTCCAGTGACTTCGTCGGGCAGCGGTGCCAGTTCCCAAATTTGTGCCTCAGCTCCCCCTGCAACAACGGCGGCACCTGCCACCCCGTGGTAGAGGGCAGCACCCCGGATTACGTCTGCTCCTGCCCGCTGGGCTACATCGATAAGCTGTGCTTGACCATTGAGGAGAACGCCTGCCTGAGCGGCCCCTGTCGCAACGGAGGAAGCTGTGACCTCGTCACCTTGACCGAGTACAAATGCCGCTGCCCTCCAGGCTGGTCAGGTGAGAGAGAGAGAGCAATGGGCACACCTTCCCACGGGCCCCTATTGAGATGCCTGCTGCTCCTCCCCTGGTAAAATTCCCCCCAAAATGTACCCACCGGTTCTCTGCCTGGTTGCTGGGTGAACGTGGCCTAGTAAGCCTCCTGCACCGTGATGGGGGGGGAGGGGAGTTTGTTTTCCCCAGGCTCCGGAGGCTTTCCTCATGCTTCCAGGAGAGTGAAAACGGCCTCTTTGGGCTCCAGAGGCTCTTTGGAAGCTGGAAATGGGCCCATTTCCGGCCTTCCTGAACTTCCAGGAGGCCCATTATGCACCCTCCCCAGGCTCCGGAGGCCGTCCAGAACTTTCAGGAGGCCTGTTTTTCACCCTTCCTGGGCTCTGGAGGTTCTCCGGAAGCTGGAAACAAGCCTGTTTCCGGCCTTCCGGTGCCTCTGGGAGGCCCCTTTTTCACCCTCTCTGAGCCTCCGTGCGGGCCCTGCATTGACCTCGGATCCAAAACGGGCCACAGTGGGACTCCTGTGAGGGGTGGGGCGGGTTGGGTGGGGCCGGACAGTCATTTCAACTACCAGTTCGGTGAACCAGGTATAAAATTAACATCCGGTTCACACGAACCGGTGCGAACCGGGAGCATCCCTGGTAGAATCCCAGTTCTCAATTGCAGAACTGAGCCCGGCCTTGTTGTCCTTGTTGGGATTGCCGGACTTCAAGAATGCAAGGAAAAGAAATCTAATTTTTTTCGTGACAGATGGAACCAGGGGGTGCCAACGCCACCTCTTATCCATTTTCCAAAGGTTTCTCTCCATTTTTTTTGTACTCTTGATCAGTGTTTCTTTCTTCAACTTGGGCAACTTTGAAGATGTGTGAACTCAACTCCCAGTACTCTCCACCCAGCAAGGGTGGCTGGAAAATTCTGGGAATTGAAGTCTTCACTTCTTCAAAGTTTGGAAAACACGTGATTTAGTTGGTTCTGCCCATCATGTGGGAGGTGGAAGAGAGCAGGCTTCCAGCACAGGGACTAGACCAGGGGTGGGCAAACTACGGCCCGTGGTCCACATCCGGCCCGTGGGCCACATCCGGCCTGTTGGTCATTTTAATACGGCCGGCCTCTGAAAAAAAAAATTCCTCTCTGAAAAAAAAATTGGGGCCGGCCAAAAGAGACCCCGTGCCGCGCGCCATAAAATCGCACACACAACATGGAGCTGGGCAGCCGCTTCCCTGGTGGCGGGGCCGAGGTCGCCGCCCAGGGAACGCCCATTGCTTTCCCTCCGCCTGGGCTCCGCTCAGGTGTCCGGCTGGGGCTGTCAGGAGTTGCTACCGCGGGCGCAGCTCCGCACAGCTCCAGTTCCGCGTTGCCTTGGGAAGGAAAGGCCAAACCAGGAGCCGCTGAGCCTGAACCTCTGGTGCCGCTGCTGCCGTTGCAAAGCGCCACCGCGGCTCTTCCTTTTTGCCTTTCCCTTCCCGAGGCAACGCAGGACTGGAGCTGCGCGGAGCTGCGCCCGCGGTAGCAACTCCTGACTCAGGGGGCTTCCGAGGGGAGGGGAAGGGGGGGAAGGAGGGGGGGAAGGGGGGGGGCTGCAATTCCCAAAAAATCTTGTGCTGACCCGGCCCGTCTGTCAAATTTTAAAAGTCAATGTGGCCCCCGAGCCAAAAAATTTTCCCACCCCTGGACTAGACACTATCCTGGTTTAAAATGTTTAATTCTTGGATCAAGGTATCCCTGTAGTTTACACATACAAAAAACTCTAAAGTAGAAGAAATAGAACCAAAAAAGAAAATGTGTATATTTAAAGAAGCCGATGAACATGGAACACAGGTAAAAAAACAGAACTTAAGCCTGAAATGTTCCTATTAGGGATAATTAGAGGGGATTACAAGAAAGAAATTGAATATATAATGATACACATATTGACAGCAGCTAGATTAACCTATGCTCAAAACTGAAAATCAGAGAGTAGTCCCACAGATAATATGATAATAAAAAATATATATGGATTTTGCGGAAATGAATAAACTTACAATGGAATTGCAGGAGAAGAAAGAAAAATAATACTGTGCGGTCTGGGAGAAATGGTATGTTTGGATAGATAACAGGAACAAAAGATAATCCAAAATGTAAATGCAATTGATGTACAGATGTGTGTTCATGTGTGTTTATATGTATGTATGTACCGTAAGTGAATATGGAGAATGCCACAAAAATTGCACTGCAAATTGCACTGCGAAAATTGTAAATATGATTTGTTTTTAAAACTGTAAAACTTTAATAAAATTTATTTTAAAAAAAGAAAAGAAAATGGAACACAGGTGTTTGCAACGCTCTATAAAAACATTGAAAAGATCAGGACTGGAAAATGGAAGGTTTTCAAGGTCCCGTTTGTGGCGTGTCTGGGTTCTTCCTCCTTCCTGACTTTTTGGCTCGAAACAGGATTGTCTCCTCTCTTGGCCTGTGCAGGCAAGACGTGTCAGCAGGCCGATCCTTGTGCCTCCAACCCCTGTGCCAACGGCGGGCAGTGCGTGCCCTTTGAGTCCAGCTACGTGTGCCGGTGTCCCCAGGGCTTCCACGGGGCCACTTGCAAGGAAGATTTCAACGAGTGCAGCCGGACGCCGCCCATCTGCAAGAACGGGGGCACCTGCGTCAACGAGATCGGCTCCTACCAGTGCCACTGCCGGCAGGCCTTCACCGGCGACAACTGCGAACACCTCTACATGCCCTGCAACCCCTCACCTTGCCAGAACGGGGGCACCTGCCAGCAGACCGGAGACGTGGCTTACGAGTGCACCTGCCTTGCAGGTAGGCCGGAGTGCTTTCTCTCTCTCTCTCTCTCTCTCTCTCTCTCTCTCTATCTATCTATCTCTATCTCCCTCACCTTAACTTACAGAGGAACAGAGCTGGAAGGTACCTTGTAGGTCATCTAGCCCACCCCCCAGCCCCTACCCAAGCAGAAGACCTTATACCACTTCTGACAGATGGCAGTCCAGTCTCTTCTTGAAAGCTTCCGGGGATGAAGCTCCCACAACTTCTGAATAACAGAATAATAACA